ACACATGCATGCATGGGCATAGTTGTGGAGGGCAGTGGGCCAGAGGAAGAAAAGGACTGGGGGAAGTAAGTGAGTGGAGAGAGGTCATTTTCAACGCCTCTTCCCAGTCCTGTTCTCCAATGAAAGAAGAAAGGCCTCTCCCAGTTGTTGGCCTCTTTTATGAGTTCAGAAGGGGAGTGGCTATACACATAGTGACCTCTCCCCCCACCACAGATCCCAGAGAAAGAAGATATAAATTTTCTCTCATTGATCTATATTTTTGTTAACAAAATAAGCTAAACGATGCTAAGTGATTATCAGCTCAGAGATTTTCTGATCCATTTCAAAAGTTCTCGGATTATTTGTTCAGCTTCTCCATCCAATTGTCCCTGATTTCAATAAAATCTTTATTCAATCTCTTATGGTTTTCTTTCTTCTTATCAGCTAAATATCGGGAAGTGTTCTTCTCACCATGCTAACTGGCACTTGATTTTGCAAAACCCAGGATAAAATAGCTTTGGTTTTCCAGCAAGATAAGAACTGAAGTCACTGAGACAGTGTAATGTTACAAGTGAATCATGGGGAATATTTCCTGATGACAGGTGATTTGGGAAGTAAATTTTCTGGTGGGTCAAGGATGCCCAAAATATAGGATGTGTCCCAATTTGTTGAAAGACTGACTTCTAGCATTATATATAGCAAAAGAGGGCACTGCACACATGACAGCCTGTTCAAGGAGCACTTCTGAGTTTTCTGTCTTTTTTATTCCTGGACTATGACGGGGGAATGGAGATTAACAATACCACAGGACTATCTGGTCACAGTAGGTTTTGATGAACAGTCCCTGATGTCCAATCACCTTTACCATAGGAGGGGCCTCACTTTGCAAGCCAGATCTTCCAGAGTGAAGTTGGGGTGTGCATTAGGGTTGCTAAGGCTCTGGCATTGGGTCTGAGAGTCTGGTAAGCAGCTACTACATAAGCTGAATTATTGCACTAATGAAGCTTGGGGCATCAATCTCCTAGGATCACTAGAGATCAATGTCAAGGGAAGAATTAATAAAATACCATCATACACTTTTTCAGTTCAAATAAAGCATTTATTTGTATCCTGGTGGACATGTCTAGAGTTTAGATAACAGTAATAGCATATATTTTTCACTTTTGTGGTTATTAAACTTGTGAGTTGAGTTTTATTCATAAATGTATCACTTAATGATAAGAGCCCTTATACATTTTATATATCCATGGATGATGTGTTATTTTTCAAATATATTATTCAGTTATTTAATGTTTTTGATATAGTATGGAAACACACCTGTTCTATCAATGGGCATGTGAGAAATGGTTAATTCTAGTGGTAGTGATGTCATTCAATTCTTTATTCCTCTGAGCTATATTCCATTGGTACAGCCTTTGATTTTATTACAAGCAGATAAAAGGAAACCATTGGATATAGGAAAAGATTTTGTGTACTACAAAATAGACCCTCACATTGATTCTTGTAAGTTTCTAGATTGCTAGTTGGAGATCAAGATGCTGCATTAATATGCAGATTGGTGACTACTAAATTTTGTCTTTGATAAACTAATGTTAGGCTGATAATGCGGGGGGGCGGGGGGATAGTTCCAGTAATAGTCAGTGTTACCACAGAGTACATTTATGATGAATGTCTCTGTTGGCATCAGGGCATTAAAGTGATCCTTTCAAAGATTTCAGGTACCAGGAACATTGTTGATGAGCCACCTCTAGATACTTCCTTGGATTAACACCGAGCCAAAATGACAAGAATGACCAGCACATCCTGCTAAGGGCAGAGAACCAGGGACTCTGTGAGCCTTAGAAATAGTTCATATATATCCCTCCAACTTCCAACTCATAAATGTGGTTCTGATACTCACTACTAAGGATATTAATACTCTAAGTTACCCAGAAGTTACCATGTTAACTGAGAAAAATATCATTAAAACCAGAGCCAAATTCTTGAGCACGTTTACTTAGGGCAAATAAAGCTTCCTTGTTGACAGATCACATTCACTTTGATAATTTACATTGGCAAAAAGAGGCGATTTATTTTATAAGGCTCATTTCCTTTTTATTCAATTATAACAGCTGGCATACAGTGCTTAATAGTGTGCTATTTTTCCTCTGTTGAACCATATACTCATAATTCAAATTCTGTGAATTAGGGATTGTGGTCTTCATATCTGTTTTATCTATGAAATAACTGAAGCTATGAGGTGAAATAATTTGCTGAAGGCTACACTCGCCCAATAAATACCAAAGCTGAGCCTGACCTCACGTGTTCTGGTCCAAAGTTGGGTTCCTCCTCGCTTCTTAACCAATGAATACACTCTAATTTTGAAAAACAAACCAGAACTTCAGAATGCAAAAGTAAGCACTCAGCCACAATATTAAGATTCCAAAAGGCACAGCTGTGATTGCAGAATAATTTCAGAATTGTTGACATCTTCAAATGTCTAATGATTCCCTAAGGTTAATGCCTGTCCCTCCATGATTAGCTCATATCCACGAGCAAAGTTTCCTGATTCTCTCAAAAATGTTTGCATATTTATATTTCAAAATATTTTAGCCCTGTTGTTGTTAGTGTTGTCCATAGTATCATTTTTCCCATTCAGCTATGTCATGGCAATAGTTTGTCTACAGGAGATTAATTGATTTTTATGTACTGATTTTTCTTCCAGCTAACTTGAACCCTTTTCATTTAAAATAGTTTTGCAGTTGATAATCATAGATTTTTGTTAATACATAACATGTTTTTTTTTTTTTGACAGGCAGAGTGGACAGTGAGAGAGAGAGACAGAGAGAAAGGTCTTCCTTTTTGCCGCTGGTTCACCTTCCAATGGCCGCCACGGCCAGCGTGCTGTGGCCAGCACACCGCGCTGATCCAAAGGCGGGAGCCAGGTGCTTCTCCTGGTCTCCCATGGAGTGCAGGGCCCAAGCACTTGGGCCATCCTCCACTGCACTCCCGGGCCATAGCAGAGAGCTGGCCTGGAAGAGGGGCAACCTGGACAGAATCCGGCACCCCGACCGGGACTAGAACCCAGTGTGCCGGCACCACTAGGCAGAGGATTAGCCTGTTTAGCCACGGTGCCGGCCAATATATAACATGTTTTAAAAGATTTATTTATTTATTTATTTATTTATTTGAAAGGCAGACTTGAGTGAGAGAGAGAGATCTTCCATCTGCTACTTCATTCCCCAAATGGCTGCAACACCTAGGACTGGGCAGTACTGAAATTAGGAGCCTGGAGTTTCATCTGTGTCCCCAGATGGGCAGCAGGGGCCCAAGCATTTGGGCTATCCTACTCTGCTTTCCCAGGTGCATTAGCAGGTAGCTGGATGGAAAGTGGAATGGCCAGCCACTTAATCTGATGTGCGACAGCACTGGCCCCATAAACAACATGTTTATGCATGTTGATTGATTCTCTCACTCAGTTTTTCAAATACATCCTCCCATCTATGACAAAAATATGCTAGTGACATGTTTTCTGCCATACTGATGTAATAGACTACTTTAGAGCAATGATTCTTTTGCATTTGGGTTAAACATCTGTCCTACATATTCAATGTCTTCCACAACGTCCTACGTTTGTACAAAAGTCGCTAAACCTACAATAAGACATTAACATAATCCAAAGTTCATAAATAACATTACTGTTTACTCTATGGTATAGCTTTTGTAGGCTTGGAAAAATGAGTCATGAGTTCTAGTCTACATTATGGCATCATAGAAAATAATGTCATGCCTGACAACTCAGCTGTTTTCTGTCCATTCTTCCCTCCTACTACTTTCCGGCGGCATCCACTTGTCTTTCTATTGCCTCCATCATTTTATTTTCATGACGTGCTGCAGTTGGCATCCTACAAAACCTTCAGGTTGCTTTATTAAGTGTCTGAGAAAATCTGGGTGCCAGATAGAAGGAGCAGAAGCAAAGATCAGTGGTGCCAACCACCCGTTCTCCCCCAGAAAACTGCACTGTTTCAGACTCACCACAGCTGCAAACTCTCAAGACAGCATGTAGGCCACTGTGCTGTATCATCGAGGATATGCTGGTTACTGCACGTGAGGCCTAATGTCTTCCTCTGCCTAGTGAAGCTTGGAGCGGAAGGTCTTTTGTGATCTGGGCATCTTGTGTGAGGATGTCCAGAAGCTATTTTGCTGAGTCTACATTCATGACTATGATGCACAAGCCTTTCAACTGATTTCTAATTCTTCACAAATGGTACTAGCTTGTTAAGTATTGCTACCCATAGTTGTGAGGAGTAGAAGCCTTCGGAACTTCCTGCTATGTCTTATGGCTGATATTGCTCCTTAGACTCTCTCTTCCTGACATCACTTCCTAGACATGGTCTTACTGGGCTGAAGATGTGAACCTCTGTAATGTGTCCATGTCATACCCAAAGAAAGCACCTATCAGAGGAGCCTGGCCAGCAAGAGAAGTAGTCTTCAAATAAAGCAAGTCCCCTAAAATAAGACACTTCAGCCATGTTGTTAGGCAGTCCTGTGGGTAAAGAGGTGGTGAACGTGGAGAAAAGGCAGAGTTCAGAGTGCATCAGTAGCAAGAGAAATACCTGTCAGGAAGATAAGGTACAAGATTTGGGTTTCTGTGTTTCTGCCCTTCCATAACCAAAGTGCAGACACCAACACACTCCACCTGCTTCCTGTGTTCTCTGCTGCTGTCCTGCTGTTATTAGAACACATATGGAACTCTGCATTGACAGATACAACAAAGATATAATAATCATAATCTTAACAGCAAATGAACCTCCACATGGCATTTCTTGGGCACTTGAATGCAAAGCTGGAGGACAGAGCCCAGCTCCCTTAGATTGATCTCTTGTGTACACTGAGGGAGGTGTGCAGATTAACACTGACAAAAGTCATCGACCTTCCCTGAGGAAGGAGGGCTGGAAGCCAGGCCTTGTGACCTGCCACATGCCTCCATGGGCTGGACCTGAGAGCTTATTACATACAAATAGCCCAAGAAGCCCGTGGCTCCACAGTTCTAGCAGTGAAGGACAAATCACTCCCAGTTCTCTAAAGCTGAGAGCTCAAAGCAATGAAGATTTTAGCGTCTATCCTGCTGATCAGTCTGGCCCTTTGCTGCTATGAGGGTGAGTATCAATTGTGATGAGTACGGTAAGAGCCTCTTCTGCATACCAGGTAATTCTCTTTGATGTTGGAAAGGGGTCTGGAACAAATCACAATTCCAAAGTGAAATATCCCCCAACCTCTCAGGGTCCATATAAACTTTCCCATACCTAGGAACTTTGACAAGAAAAAAGATTGCAGGAAATTTCAGGGAGATTGACGGGAGCGTGAATCCATGGCCAGGACTGGAGTTCTGACAGCAGCAGAGTAAAGTGGGAAGTCCTAGTATGAGTCAGCTCTGCCATTTTTCAGTCCTTTGACCTTGTGCCAGATGCTTACTCAATTCCAGCCTCTTGTTATCCCTCATGTTTCTAGCTAACACTATGGGTGAGAATGCAGTGAGATTAAGAATATCAAGAGTCCTGCTGTAGACATGTCTGTAGTGATCAGGCATTTTTCTCACCACACACATGCAGATTCTAACAGAGCCACAGACTCTTACTCATAAATTCAAAGTTGTGACATGTTAGAGTTATAAGGACCATTGTAGAGGCCCCAGTCTGAGAAGAGGCTATTGTCTCAATCCCTGTTCAAATGGGTTAAGAAAAAAGGGAACCATTTATGAGAACTCCCAATTTTCTAAGAGTGCTCAAGCAATGCCAGTAGATCTACTATACAGGTTACTGCTAAGATTTCTCCTTCTATAAAATTAATTCTGGCCATTCTTTAAATCATAAAATTCTTTGCATATCTCCATAGGCTGAGAAATGATACAAGTTTCCTTGAGACTTACTGAGTTCTCTCATTCTCTGAACCTGTTCCTGGTTCCTGCCTTTTCCCTTTATTAGATTATATGATTTACATGTTCTGCCTAATGTTTGATGCTGTCTTGAATAGACCCCATTAGGACGATACAGAGAATATTAAGTGTTCAAGGTAAGTATAAAAGCCCTGAAGGATGGCCGGCACTGTGGCTCACTTGGCTAATCCTCCACCTGCTGTGCCGGCACCCCGGGTTCTAGTCCCGGTTGGGGTGCTGGGTACTAGTCCCAGTTGCTCCTCTTCCAGTCCAGCTCTTTGTGGCCCGGGAAGGCAGTGGAGGATGGCCCAAGTGCTTGGGTCCCTGCACCCGCGTGGGAGACCGGGAGGAAGCACCCAGCTCCTGGCTTCGAATCGGCACAGCGCCAGCCGTAGCGGCCATTAGGGGAGTGAACCAACAGAAGGAAGACCTTTCTTTCTGTCTCTCTATAACTCTCTCTCCGTCTCTCTCTCACTGTCCAACTCTGCCTGTCAAAAAATTTTAAAAAAAGAACCTTGAAGGAGAGAGGAATTGAGACCTGAAAGAAAAAGTTTTTTCAGAGCTGTACATAATTCCTGATAAGGCAAGAATGAGACATAGTCCTCTCTGTTCATCCTCTTGGGGGATTCTGGACCTCCCTGTAGAATAAAAGAACAAATCACAATTTACTGCAGGAGCTTTTTGCATGTGGGAAAAAGTTATCTCTATTTGAAATTTAGCTTTGAGCTCTGTCTACGCGTGATAGCGTATCTAAGTTCCTTTTTACTTAGTCTCAGAATATTCCCTCCCCACACAGTAACTACTTCACCTGCTGTCCTCCTGATTTACTCTCACTGTTCCATCTGTGCTAAGACTCTGACTCTTCCTGTCACTTTCAAGTTGGATCATCCCCAAATCCCGCTTGTCCAGAATCCATGGCTTCTGAGCTGTCACTCAATAATCAGACAAAACCAAGTTTTCTCAAATCTATGTAATGGAATTTCCATAAAGGGAAGAAGCATTGGAAAGTAGTGAATGTGTTTTAGAAAAAGAAACATGAAAACTGATTAATGATGAAGAAATTTCTTCATCATTTTCTTCTTTTGCCACTTTCTGTCTAATTTTGAGGAAATTATGATCTCCAGGGATTTCCACTGCCACTAGAACAATTATAGCTTGCAAAGAAGAAAACCCTGTGGATCCTTTATCTAATGTCAAAGAGCTTTGTGCTGTGGGAAGACTTGTCACAAATAAACTGTTTTTCTGTTCTTTTTCTGCAGCTGATGCAGCGGCCTGTCCAACCTTTATAGCTGAAAGCACAGCCAACTTACTAGCTAGTGAATCTGTGTTCAGGGCATCACTTTCCAAATACGGAGCACCTCCAGAAGCTGTGGAGGCAAAGTTGCAAGTTAAGAGATGTACAGATAAGATGAGCCTTGGAAAAAGAGTACTATTTGGAAAAGTGCTGGTAATTTCTTCCTCCTTTATGCATAACGGTCTTATTTAGTCCCATTGTAAGATATGGCGTCAATTAACTCTTCTATAGGGTGCCCAGGTGGCAGAGCATCTGTCTTGCTGATATCCTTGTAAAAGGTGGTCCCGAGGCTGGATGTTACTAGAACACTTGCTGAATTGAACTCAGCCACACATGGCATCCTGGCTTCATGGGTATGCCCCTCCTACTTAGATCTCCTGCATGATTGCCACATTCTTCATGTTGCACTGAGAAATCAGACAGCCTGAGTTCCAAGCAAAGAGGTTGAAAAGCCAAGCGTGGATGCCTCTCTACCTCTTAGCTTTCCTGAAGATGAGCACTGCCCTCCCAGTGTATCTGGCCCCCTTAGACTCTCAGGTGTGAAGGTTGATGTGTTGGAGGGCTGGTATGAATGGACAGAGGGAACTGAGCTCATCCTCTGTCAGAACAGGTAGTGTCTGGCTGGGATTCTCTCCCAGCTCCTGCAGATCCAGGAGCTCACTCCCATTAACTCCTTTGACATGGTTGTGGGCAGGCACCATTGCTGCTTTGTCTCCTGCAGTTTTAAATGAAAAAGCAGCATTTAAATGAATAAGCAGTACCTCTTTTATCAGGAAATCTGATGATAAAGTGGTTTACCAGTCTGTCTGACCCTGCTTTTTTTTTTTTTTAGGAAGACCTTTCTTTTTTTTAACTTTTATTTAATGAATATAAATTTCCAAAGTACGGCTTATGGATTACAATGGCTTCCCCCCCATAACGTCCCTCACACCCGCAACCCTCCCCTTTCCCACTCCCTCTCCCCTTCCATTCACATGAGGATTCATTTTCAATTCTCTTTATATACAGAAGATCAGTTTAGCATACATTAAGTAAAGATTTCAACAGTTTGCTCCCACACAGAAACATAAAGTGAAAAATAATAGATGATTTTTTTAAATGATGATGAAATCAGATCAGACCTATTGTCATGTTTAATCCCAGCGAGAGTCAAGTTGGGAATTGCTAATTTCTTCTTTTTTTTAACAGAAGATCAGTTTAGTATACATTAAGTAAAGATTTTAACAGTTTACACCCCCATAGAAACACAAAGTGAAACATACTGTTTGAGTACTCGTTATAGCATTAAATCTCAATGTACAGCACATTAAGGACAGAGATCCTACATGAGGAGTAAGTGCACAGTGACTCCTGCCGTTGACTTTACAAATTGACACTCCTGTTTATGGCATCAGTAATCTCCCTATGCACCAGTCATGAGTTTCCAAGGCTATGGAAGCCCCTTGAGTTCTCCGACTCTTATCTTGTTTAGACAAGGTCATAGTCAAAGTGGAGGTTCTCTCCTCCCTTCAGAGAAAGGTACCTCCTTCTTTGAAGACCTGTTCTTTCCACTGGGTTCTCACTCACAGAGATCTTTCATTTAGGTTTTGTTTTGTTTTGTTGTTGTTGTTGTTGTTGTTGTTTTGCCAGAGTGTCTTGGCTTTCCATGCCTGAAATACTCTCATGGGCTTTTCAGCCAGATCAGAATGCCTTTAGGGCTGATTCTGAGGCCAGAGTGCAGTTTAGGACATCTGCCATTCTATGAGTCTGCTGAGTATCTCGCTTCCCATGTTGGATCACTCTCCCCTTTATTTATTCTATCGGTTAGTATTAGCAGGTACTAGACTTGTTTATGTGCTCTCTTTGACTCTTAGTCCTTTCATTATGATCAATTGTGAACTGAAATTGATCACTTGGACTAGTGAGATGGCATTGGTACATGCCACCTTGATGGGATTAAATTGGAGTCCCCTGGTATGTTTCTAACTCTACCATTTGCTGACCCTGCTTTTATACAGTGAAGTTCAACTTCAAATGGTCACAAATGTTGACCTTCTGTATTGAGGAGTTCAAGAGTCATGAAGCAGAATTCACATCATGGGGGCCTGGAAATCTACTGAATGTAGTACTTGCAACATCAACTCCAAGTCCTGCTCTGCACCACTCAGCCGTGGTTCCCCCTTTGAGGGGATAGTAGAGATCCCTGTCCTGACATGTCAGAGAAAATAACTCCTAGAACCTTCTGCTTTATTCTTAATGTTACCCCTTTCCATTTGAAACTAACCATACACTTAAGTCATGCCAGGTGGTAGGTAGAATCTTGTCTACGAAAGCTTATTACAAAATATCTATGTGTGGTTTCAATAATAGAAAACTTTTTAAATTTGACATTTCTATACCTTTTTCCAAGTGTCCTTATATTTCACCTACTTTGGGAAGACAGTCCCCGAATGTGCTTTGTTTGTGGTAACTCCATTAGGCTGTGACTTAATTTCACACACACCTGCTTTTTAGGCCTTCTAATTTTACACAATGCCTTTGGAAGGAAACTTCCATTGACTTCTGGGTGGTGGTGATCTGTCATCTGTAGGAGAAGTGTGACTGATCTCATCTTTTCCCCCTTCTTCCTTTCTGTTCAATTTCAGGGAGAAATTGTTTTGAGGACGTGTACCTTGTAAGACATGAAGGATATTTGATGTTGGTGCCCATTGTCTTTCCAGGATTGCCTCTTTACCATACTATATAAAATTTCAATGTCTTGCTCTAATAAATTACTTTGTCTGCAGTTATCCAATTGTCTTCTCATTATATTAATTTCATGGGTATTGAAATGATGGGGTTTTTTGTAATGATGAATTTGCCTTTGGTGTTGATAATGATCAATGAAGAGAGTCAAACCCCTGAGGTTCAGACTTCAGTAAAGAAATATGAGGCTATCAACCACAATGACTTACTTCACAGATTTCCCATTAATGAAATCATGAATGAAAATTATGGTAAAGTGTGAAACAACTAAAGCAATCTTGTTGATCTTGCCCTGAAGGACACCTCAAGCCTCACTGACTGGCCAGAAGCCATGGTTCACATCCTACAACTGCCCTAATATAATGTTCTGGTCATCCTCACAGGCAAACTGCTTCAGCTGCCTCTACAGTATAATTTGAACCTGTGCCCTGGACAGTATCAATTACATGCAATTTTTCACAATGTGAAGTGTATTTTCAGGTGTTACCCTGCTTTTGAATCATTTTGGCCCCAGACATTCAGAGACTTCTTCAATATCTACAAGCTCACCATCTCTCACAACATCCCTAGGAAAATACTAGGTTGTCAGCAGCATCAGCACACCATCACCTCAGAAGTAAGGTTTGAAAACTGAAAAAGAAAGGGTTGCAGACTGATTGTCCTCAACCTACTCTTTCTTCCTCCAGCCCTTTCCTTGCTAGTGGATACCATGACCAGAAGTTACCTTATTCAGTTTTTTTTTTTCCTTACTAAGTTTAATACATGGAGACATCATAGGCTTCTTGTTTAGTTTTCTCCAGCTTCAGTAACAAAGTACCACAAATTTGGCTGATGCCACGGTTCACTAGGCTAATCCTCCACCTGTGGCACAAGCACCCCAGGTTCTAATCCCTGTCAGGGACTAGATTCTGTCCCGGATTCTGTCCCGGTTGCTCCTCTTCCAGTCCAGCTCTCTGCTGTGGCCCGGCAAGTCAGTGGAGGATGGCCCAAGTGCTTGGGCCCTGCACCCGCATGAGAGACCAGGAGGAAGCACCTGACTCCTGGCTTCGGATCGGCGCAGCATGGCGGCTATAGCGGCCATTTGGGGAGTTTACCAATGGAAAAGGAATACTTTTCTCTCTCTCTCTCTCTCTCTCTCTCTCTCTAACTCTGCCTGTCAAAAAAAAAAAAAAACACCAAATTTGATTATTTAAATGCTTTATTCTCCAATGATTGTAGGAAACTAGTATTCACCATCCATTTAGGCTCCTTAAAGCCAGAAGTCAGCCACACTCTCCCTGAAGGCTCTAGGAGACAGTCTGTTAATTACTAATTTAAGCTTTGGTGGCTGATGGCAGTCCTTGTCATGTAGTCACAACTCTCAAACCTCAGCCTCCAAGATATATTTTTTATCTCTTTCTGTGCATATTTTATATTTACCTCGTTCCTATAAAACTCATAGATTTCATTTAGAAACCACCCAGTTACTCTGCATAGCCTCTCCATTGCAAGATTTCTTTCTTCATCAAAGACACACAGTGATTTGTATCTTAGCAATGCAACTTTCACAGATTCTAGAAACTAGGGTGAGGATAGCAATATGGAGAAATTAGCCAGTCAATTACTGCTCCTTTTCTCTTACCTCCTAAATTCTTCCCTTTCCACTGCACAGTATCACCTCTGTGGGTCTCCTCATTTCCACCCCTACAGCCACCACCCCAGTGCAATCTGTCTCTGTTCTCAGTTCAGGTCAAAGTCTAACATAACTCAAATCAAAGTCCTGCATGTTGCCTGTACCCTGTGATATCCTCCCAATGCATGCTACAATGAGCCTTCTCAAGTGGAAATGTGCCCGATTTCTATACAATAATCCAGAATTACTAGATAAGGGTTTCAAGTAAGAGGACTTATTCTTAGTCACTATCTACAGTCATATGACAATAGTTATGATTGTGTTTCATTAAGGAATGGATTAATCCTTATAAATGCAGCATTTCTTTTGAAAGGTATATATTTTAATTCTATCAGCAAAAATGGAAAATTATAAATAGTACTTAATATGAGAAACCCATGACAAAGTTCAGTCTACCTTTGCTGTATGCAAAAGGATTGATGGTCTCTTGTAACACCTGGATAAATTCAGTCTGTGGCCTTGGTGATGCACACAAAGACTTCCAAAAGCTCACTCTTCTGTGTTCCTCCAACTTCATCTCTGCCTTCACCTGGGTCATCTGTTCCCAGTCAGGGTTGGTTAAACTCCATTTGCTTGTGAATTATTCTAGGTCACACCTTTACCCAAAGGCTTGAGATCTTACTGTTGTGTGTTTATCTTCCCCAAAACAGTTGTAAAATTAATTTCATATGTTTCCTACTCTGGGAAGTCTCTCTGATACCCTCATCCTAAAAAGAGGATTTATACACACTCAACTCCAAACACATCTCATTTATCAGCATATATGTGTATATATATATATATAAATAAATATATGTATATTTCAGCATCTATATGTTTATGTCATGTATTATTGTCCAGTCATTGTCAGAATATAGAAAATCAATTGATAATGTAAATCAATCAACCTATACAAGGTGTCATTATTATTATGATCAAAAAGAGTGAAAGCATTTATTTTTTTAACTTTTATTTAGTAAGTGTAAATTTCAAAAGTACAACCTTTGGATTATAGTGGCTTTTCCCTCTATAACCTCCCTCCCACACGAAACCATCCCATTTCCCAATCCCTCTCCCATCCCATTCTTCACCAAGATTCATTTTCAATTATATTCATATAAAGAAGATCAACTTGGTATATACCAAGTAAAGATTTCAACAGTTTGCACCCACACAGAAACACAAAGTATAAAGTACTGTTTGAGTAGTAGTTTTACCATTAATTTGCATAGTACAACACATTAAGGACAGAGGTCCTACATGGGGAGCAGGTGCACAGTGACTCCTGTTGTTGATTTAAAAAATTGACACTCTTAATTATGATGTCAGTAATCATCTGAGACTCTTGTCATGAGCTGCCAAGGCTATGGAAGCCTCTTGAGTTCAAACTCTGGCCTTATTTAGACAAGGCCATAATCAAAGTTGAAGTTCTCTCCTGCCTTGAGAGAAAGTTATCTCCTTCTTTGATGGCCAGTTCTGAAAGCATTTATTTATTGGAAGCCACTATCTGCATTTTCTATTAGTTTTATGTGTCCTCTTTCATTTATTACTACTAGTTCTCTGGAAAGCAGGAGGGCAAGCACTGTGAGACATGCTGTAACCAGTGGTCCTGACCTTGAGACATGCTGTAACCAGTGGTCCTGACCTTGGATCTGCTTTTTTTTTTTTTGACAGGCAGAGTGGACAGTGAGAGAGAGAGACAGAGAGAAAGGTCCTCCTTTGCCGTTGGTTCACCCTCCAATGGCCGCCGCAGCTGGCGCGCTGCGGCTGGCGCACCACACTGATCCGATGGCAGGAGCCAGGTACTTATCCTGGTCTCCCATGGGGTGCAGGGCCCAAGCACTTGGGCCATCCTCCACTGCACTCCTTGGCCACAGCAGAGAGCTGGCCTGGAAGAGGGGCAACCGCGACAGAATCCAGCACCCCGACCGGGACTAGAACCCGGTGTGCAGGTGCCACAAGGCGGAGGATTAGCCTAGTGAGCCGCGGTGCCGGCCCCTTGGATCTGGTTTTAAAATCAAATAATACCTAAAGAAACACAAAGAAGCATGAAAAAGTCATGGAAAACATGTATTATGAAAAGCTATGCAAGGTATATTGATGAGACTTTATCATAAAAAATAAAGGTTTTTAGAAGTTTCAGAAGAACAAAGTCCTTACGGGGTGTGCATTCTTCAACAAGGAAGATTTGGTGTAAGCTGTGATGACTGAGTACAAAGTAAAGGACCTAGAAGATGAGGGGCAGGTAGGAAGAAACAGGGCCCTCAAGTGTGTGAGGGAGCCTGTGTATGAGGTTGAGCCCATCTCCCTAGAGGATGAAGAAACCTATGTTCTTCCAAGCATCTTTTCACTGGAGCTGGGGATGGGGGGACAGTGTCAGTTATCTGCCTGGGAGCCTCTCTAGGCCTGCTCTTGACGTGGGACCCACTGTAAAGTGAAATGAGTCTCCTTAGAACTACTCCTTGTAGCTCAGAAGAGAAGCCAGACTTACAGAAATCTTTTCTACAGTGTTTTTCCACCTTTAGTGTGTAGTGAGGAAAGTGGATAATTCCTTATGGTGAAAGGCTGACCTGTGACTGTGGGGATTTACTAGAATCCTGGCCATCTACATAATGAGCACACCCATCACCATCCAGCTGTAACAACCAAAATCATCTCTAGATGACTGATTTCAGGGGATGGGGAGTGTGGAGTGATTATACCTTAGTACACACTCCTTAATCCAGCAGGAAAAGCCTGGCCATCAGTTCTTCTATAGAACCCTTCTAATGCCCCTAATCACTGTATGTTCACACTATGGAAGCAGTACAGCTGGAAAAACCATATAATCATAGAAAGAAAAAATTACTAACCTAATGCAGTAGAACTGGTTAGAAATTCAACAGTCACATGGGAACCAGATTAAGCTCTTAACCAAACATCACAGATAAATATCAAATTGAGTAAAGTTCACAGTTTTGGAGAAGGAACTGAGGAAAATCAGCCAGGGACTGACACCTGATCCTTTTCCTACTTCCAAATATCTCTCCTGGTTCCAGCTCTTTAGAGGACACAGATTAGAAAAAGTCAAGGTAATCATGGTAATCATTTCCCAGTATACACATACAACAAAATGCACATAAACACATACAATTGTAAGTTGTCAATAATGCTAAAATAAAACAAATAATACATGCTTACATTTTTTAAAGATATATATTCAGGCTGGCGCCGCAGCTCAACAGGCTAATCCTGTGCAGCGCCGGCACACTGGGTTCTAGTCCCGGTCGGGGCACCGGATTCTGTCCCAGTTGCCCCTCTTCCAGGCCAGCTCTCTGCTATGGCCCAGGAGTGCAGTGGAGGATGGCCCAGGTGCTTGGGCCCTGCACCCTAATGGGAGACCAGGAAAAACA